ACAGAGTCCAATTCGCCACTGGATTTGCTGTCAACTTCTTCCTTAGCGACCTCATCTGTCTCTCCCAAATGCAATCTCAGGAACTCACGTGCTTTAAGGACAGAGTCAATCTTTTCTTTTTTATCAAGGAATTTCAAAATGACGCCTTCTGGAATTGGGAGCAACCCACTTTGGAGTCCTGTGAATGTGGCAAGGCTCGGTTAAAACAAAGCAATGGAGGTACGTGGCCGGACACCTCAGCTGATGAAACGTTGCGTGGGAGCTGTTTGCCGATGTCGGAAACGCCGCTGCAGGAACCTGACTTCGAACACGTTTGCTGACGTACGGCCAAGTCATGGGACTAAATTGCTCGAGGCAAGGTACAACCGTTGCCTTCTCCTTTGCTTCCACTAAGAGGCAGCAAAGGGCCAGGAGGCCATATTGACTGTCTTCTGTATTGGCAAAAAACAACAACCCCGCCCCCCAAGAAGCTGTTTTGGACCTGCCCTGGCGTGGCCCCACAGAATTCAGGCTCCAGGTAACGGTTGCCAACCTCCAGGTGGGTAGCAATACATGAGAGATCACGGAAGAAGCAGTTAAAAAGGTAAAGGTTCCCTTGCTCGAAAGCCAGTCGACTCCGACTCTAGGGTTGCGGTGCTCATCTCCGTTTCAAAGCTGAAGAGCCAGCGCTGTCCGAAGACATTTCCGTGGTCATGTGGCCGGCATGACTAAACACCAAGGCGCACGGAACCCTGTTACCTTCCCACTGAAGTGGTACCTATTATCCACTTGCAATTTCTTGCTTTCGAACTGCTAGGTTGGCAGGTAACATTGTATAGTCAATTATATTTCAAGGTGGGTACCCATTTTGGTCTGAACTCGTGGGCACTCTGTGAAATTGCTGAGCGGTTGGGTTAGAACACACAAAAGGAAGTCCTTCACCCAAAGAGTGATTCACAGGTGGAATTCCCTGCCACAGGAGGTGGTGGTGGCTATAAGCATGGACGGCTTCAAGAGGGAATTGGATAAGCAGAGGTCCATCGGTGGCTATGAGCCACAAGGTATAGATAGAAGGTCTCGGTCTGGGGCAAGGGATGCTCTGTATTCTTGGTGCTGGGGAGGGGGGCAACAGTGGGAGGGCTTCTATTGTCCCGGCCCCACTGCTGGACCTCCTGAGGGCACCTGGTATTTTTGGCCACTGTGTGACAGAGTGTTGGACTGGATGGGCCTTTGGCCTGATCCAACATTGGCTTCTCTTATGTTCTTATGTCTGGGGCAAGTGATGCTCTGTATTCCTGGTGCTTGAGGGGCAAATGTGGGAGGGCTCCTAGTGTCCTGGCCCCACTGCTGGACCTCCTGATGGCCCCTGGTATTTTTGGCCACTGTGTGACACAGAGTGTTGGACTAGATGGGCCATTGGCCTGATCCAACACTGGCTTCTCTTATGTTCTTAACAAAGTTATGAGTCCAGTGGCACCTTTAAGACCAACAAAGTTTTATTCAAGATGTGAGCTTTTGTAAGCGTGCACCCTTCGTCCGACGATGAAATGGAATTACATAGCATAGTTGTATCTATAGGGGTGGCTTGTTAAATTAGCATGCAGAATAGTGAAAATATTTTTTAAAAAACAGGTCAACAGAATGACAGGCTCTGGTTTCTGGCTACCATCTGTTTACCAAGCACATTTATACAAACACTGACACGCAAAGAGTATGACCAGCAACTGTTTTAAATAAGTAAAGTGCTCGCGCCAGGGGTTCAGTTCCAATTATTTCCTTATCAGTTTCTTCTTGTGCATGTTTAATCCAGTTGCTACGTTTGAATTAAACATAGACAAGAAGAAACATTTATGTGTTATACGCTTTGCATGTCAATGTCTGTACGAATGTGCTTGGTAAGCAATACAATTGACCATACAATCTTACACTGAGTCATTATATCACAGCTGTATTTTGATTATTCTTAACTTCCTGGTGGGCCCTGGAGATTCCAGGTGTCTCTCCAGCTTTGAGACGTGCCTGCAACGAGGTTCTTGTGGTTCATTCTCGAACGTTCTTGCTGGGTAGACCACCACCTCCCATCGTTCAAAATGCAACTCTTAGCTGACGGATTAATCACTAGACGCTGTAATCGATTTATTGGAGGGAGGGAGAGCCCAGTTTGGTGTAGTGGTTAGGAGCAAGTAATCTGGAAGAACCGGATTTGAGTCCCCACTCCTCCACATGCAGCTGCTGGTGTGACCTTGGGTCAGTCACAAGTTCTCTCAGAGCTGTTCTCTCAAGGGCAGTTCTCAAAGAGCACTCTCAGCTGCTGGCATGACCTTGGGTCAGTCACAAGTTCTCTCAGAGCTGTTCTCTCAAGGGCAGTTCTGGAAAGAGCTCTCTCAGCCCCACCTACCTCAAAAGGTGTCTGTTGTGGGGAGGGGAAGGGAAAGGAGTTTGTAAGCCGCTCTGAGATTCCTTCGGGTAGTGAAGGGCGGGGTATAAATCCAATCTCTTCTTCTCTTCTTCTTCTTCTCCCCATATGCAGCTGCTTGTGTGACCTTGGGTCAGTCACAAGTTCTCTCAGAGCTGTTCTCTCAAGGGCAGTTCTGGAAAGAGCTCTCTCAGACCCACCTACCTCAGAAGGTGTCTGTTGTGGGGAGGGGAAGGGAAAGGAGTTTGTAAACCGCTTTGAGATTCCTTCAGGTAGTCAAGGGTGGGGTATAAATCCAATCTCTTCTCTTTCTCTCTCTCCCCCTCCCCCCCTTCTTCAAATCCAAAGCTGGAAGAATGTGTAGGTTGCATTCCTTCTCCCTCAGGGATTTTTAAAAATTACTTTTGGATGTATTCGTTCTTTAAATTACATCTATGCTGCTCGTGGAACTGCGGTGGCTCAAGTGGTTAAGACACTGAACTGCAGGCTGTGGAAGGTCAGTAGTTCAGCAGTTCGAGACCCGAGTGTGCCGCATGACGGAGTGAGCTCCCATCTCTAGTTCCAGCTCCTGCCAACCTAGCAGTTCGAAAGCAAGAAATTGCAAGTAGATAAATAGGTACCACTTTCGGTGGGAAGGTAACAGCATTCCGTGCGCCTTGGTGTTTAGTCATGCCGGCCACATGACCACGGAAATGTCTTTGGACAGCACTGGCTCTTTGGCTTTGAAATGGAGATAAGCACCGCAACCCTAGAGTCAGATTCAACTGGCTTTCGAGCAAGGGAACCTTTATGCTGCTCGTAGAGATGCCCCAAACAAGGAGAATTCATAACGCATGGCTGGTGCCCCGTGAACCAGTTCAGATCTCTGGCCCTTTCACTAGGTTGGCTCACAGAGCCAGGTAGGTATTCCAAGTCGTCCTTTTCTCCTGCGCTTTCCCAGAAGAGCAGGGCGGCCAGCTCCGTGTTAGGAAATACCTGGAGATTTGGGGCGGGTGGAGTCGGGGGGAGGGCCTCCAGCCACTGTCTGGAGGTTGGCAACCCTATGAGAGGAGGAAGAAAAGGAAGGTGAGGATGCAAAAAGAGAAAGAAAGGAAACCTTCCAAGGAACGGTGTTTTTGGGATACACCCATCAAAAGCAGAAGATGGGTTCCTGAGAGAAGGAAAGAGTCCCTCTCCATTTCCTGACTCCCCCCCTTTCCCTCTCTTCCTGGACCAACCCAGTTTTAGGGTCCTCAGGCTGGGAAATACCTGGAGATCGAGGTGTGTATGTGTGTGGAGCCCGAGGAGGGCGGGGTCTGGGGAGGTGAGGGACTTCAATGGGGTAGAATGCTGTAGAGTCCACCTCCCAAGGCAGCCATTTTCTCCAAGGGAGCAGACCTCTGTCACCTGGAGACAGGCCCGTAGCTACAGTGGGGCTTTGGGGGGCGCCGCCCCCTTTCTTAAAGGCACAGCCTCACAAGAATTTCTCCCGTAAATGCTTTTTTCCAATCATTTAAAAAAAAATTCAAAGGCATGTGCTCCTTTAAGCAGAGTGGGGTGCTGCAGTTGACTAATTCCCACCCTCAGCAAGGGGGTTGGAATAGGTGGCCTCTAGGGTCCCTTCTCACTCTGCGTCAAGAAACTGGTCTCCATTTAGAGAGTTTTCCTGCCTACGTGTTAGCTTTCTGGACTACAGAAGTCGTCAGCCCCACTTGTTGGCTTGTTATCAGAACTGTTGCTTCAGCTGGCAGAAGTAATTAACTTGCAGCAGCTGAGAACTCTCGGCTAAAGTGGCCAGCCGCTTGCAATTTAGAGATATATCCTGGTCACAGCTTTCTATTGGCTAAATGGCTTTTCTTTCTGCACTGAGAACTTCAGCCCCGCCAAGAAAGAAAAAATTTGCCCCACGAGCCACAAAATCCGGGCTATGGGCCTGCCTGGAGATCAGTCGTAATCAGCAGGGGTCATTTCCTGCGGGAGTCGACAGGAGCAGAGCTCCGGCAGTAAGGGGTGGGCACATGCAACAAGCCCTCAGTCGGGCCACAAGGAGCAAGAAGCAGCCAGGTAAGTTGCAGAGCCCCCCCCCTGGCCCGCCTTCAGGTACAAGTTCTCCCTCCTCTGTGAGGGCAGATCTGCACATTCCCTCCCCACCCATAGCTAGTAATCCAAAACAGTCCAGTGGCACCTTTAAGACCAAGTTTTATTCAGGTACAAGCTCTCCCTCCTCTGTTAACACTCTGCGCTCTCCCCCCCCCCCCCAATAGCTAGCAATCCAAAACAGTCCAGTGGAGCCTGAGCGGTGGGTGTTGCCTTCTGACACACTTCCGGTGATGTCAAGGAGTGTGGCATATGCAAATAAGTTATGCTAATGAGTTATGCTAATGAGCTCCTGCACCTCTTTTTCTACGAAATGACCCCTGGTAATCAGTGTTCCCTCCATGCTGAGTTAGTGTGAGCCAGCTCACAGTTTTTTAGCTTCCGGCGGCTCACACATTTTTGCCTTGGCTCAGGAAGGAGGTGGCCCCAGAGCAAACTAATTCATGCAGTCGCCTGCCCACAACTTGAATGCCGGCAGCTCACAAAGCTGAACTTTTGCTCATAAGGACCCACAGCTTAGAGGGAGCGTCGGTCGTAATCCCAGGAGGTCTCCGGTCACCAGACCTGGAAGGCCGGCCACCCTAGTCGTCCTTCAGCTCAAATCGGGGCATCCGTTTCTTCTCGGTTTTCCACGGCTCGGCCAGCAGGAGCCGGAGGGTGTTGCAGATCACCAGCTTCTCCAGCAGCAGGGAGCCCACGAACCAGAAGAGGAAGTACTCCAGGGCGACGAGGCCCATCAGGTGGTAGGTGTACTCGCTGTAGTCCCAGGGGCAGGCGCCGACGAGGGACAGGAGGCCGCCCGTGCCAAACTCCCACGAGTAGATGCACAGAATGTACAGGACGCACCTGGTCAGGAGGCAGCACTCCGTCCGCAGGCCCAGGTAGACGTACTCCATGGTCAGGCCGCAGCAGCTGTAGACCAAGAAGGAGCCCGGGCTGCCGGCGCGTTGGAAGGGGCTGTCGTCGCCCACCATGGCCGCAAAGATCTTCTCCAGGAAGTAGCCGTGGATGGCGTAGATGTAGGACCGGATCAGCCGGTTCAGGGGCTCCGGCGGGCTCCCCATGGCAGGTGACCTGCGTGGAGGGAGAGGGGAGGATTCAGGTGCACTGCGGACGCCCCGAGTTCGACAGATCTAGAGACCCACAAAGGTTTAGTCAAGGTGTGAGATTTCGTGCGCATGCACGGGAGGCGAGGTTCGAACTTATAGACTGAGGGCTGCACAGCAAACGGGCATGTTTTTTTTAAAACCTCTTTATTAGGATATCACAATGAGTAAACCTATAATTCATGCAACACATTGTCTCATATCCTTTTTTCTTCTATAAACCCCCCCCACACACACTGACTTCCCACAGTGCTCAAACTTACAGTTCCCTCCTAGGTTCCCCTTTCCCAACTCTTAGCTATTATTTATTTATTACAGGCAACGTATCTCTTTATCTCTAGATCCATATATGTTTAAACTTACTCTACATAGCCCTCCGTCGTAATAATTGTCTAAGCAAAATAAATTGTTTTTAACATCCCAATATTTCTCCAAATAGTCTTTAAAGTCCTTCCAATCTGCAAAAAAAAGTCTGCTGCTTCTTGATTTTTAACATGACGAAGACGTTTTAAGACTGGCGAGGACAAAACAAAATAACAAGCTTCAGGTGATAAGGCCAGCAGTTGTAAAGCAATAAATGCGTCAGAATAGCAGATAAATGTCTAAAGGTGTTTTCTCTTCAGACATGTGTCTGCCATTCTGACCTATTCATTGCTTTACAACCTTATCACCTTAACTTAAGAACATAAGAACATAAGAGAAGCCAAATGTTGGATCGGGCCAATAGCCCATCTAGTCCAACACTCTGTATCACACAGTGGCCAAAAATACCAGGTACCCTCAGGAGGTCCAGCAGTGGGGCTAAGAGACTAGAAGCCCTCCCACTGTTGCCCCCCCCCAAGCACCAAGAATACAGAGCATCACCTGCCCCAGCCTGAGAGTTCCTATCTATAGCTTGTGGCTCATAGCCACTGGTGGGCCTCTGCTCCAGATGCTTATCCAATTCCCTCTTGAAGCCGTCCATGCTTGTAGCCGCCACCACCTCCTGTGGCAGTGAATTCCATGTGTGACTCACTCTTTGGGTGAAGAAGTACTTCCTTTTATCTGTTCTAACCTGACCGCTCAGCCATTTCATGGAGTGCCCACGAGTTCTTGCCTTGTGAACTTGTTATTTCGTTTTCACTTTGCATCTATCTCAAACATCATCATGTTACATGTTCATTAAAAATATAATTAAAAATTAATTAAAAATAGGTATTGCATTAAAGGAGATGCGGTGGCTCAAGTGGTTAAGACGCGTGCCCACGAGTTCTTGCCTTGTGAACTTCTTATTTCGTTTTCACTTTGCACCTATCTCAAACATCATCATGTTGCATGTTCATTAAAAATATAATTAAGAATTAATTAAAATATAGGTATTGCATTAAAGGAGATGCGGTGGCTCAAGTGGTTAAGACGCTGAACTGAAGGCTGTGGAAGGTCGGTAGTTCAGCAGTTCGAGACCTGAGTTGCCGCATGATGGAGTGAGCTCCCATCTCTAGTTCCAGCTCCTGCCAACCTAGCAGTTCGAAAGCAAGAAATTGCAAGTAGATAAATAGGTGCCACTTTGGTGGGAAGGGAACAGTGTTCCGTGGGCTTCGGTGTCTAGTCATGCCGGCCACATGACCACGGAAACGTCTTTGGACAGAGCTGGCTCTTCGGCTTTGAAACGGAGATGAGCACCACAACCCTAGAGTCGGATTCGACTGGCTTTCGAGCAAGGGAAACTTTACCTTTACTTTTATTGCATTAAAAGAAAAGAAAAGAAATAGGTAACTGCTGCCACTGGGTATGGTTTGCTGTGGGTTGGAACCCATCGGGTAATTCTGCATCATTTAATGCGCCATGTTAACCCTTTGGCACTGGGCTCAGCTCTCTCTCTCTCTTTTTTTTTAAGACTTCTGGTTCATTCTACAACCCAAATCCTATTTCCTTGTTTCTGGAAGGCCCCTCTTGTCGACTGTATCACAATGACACTTCACCACTACACCAAACTGGCTCAAACTAGTAATGACTCTCTCTCTCTCTCTTTTTTTTTAAGACTTCTGGTTCATTCTACAACCCAAATCCTATTTCCTTGTTTCTGGAAGGCCCCTCTTGTCGACTGTATCACAATGACACTTCACCACTACACCAAACTGGCTCAAACTAGTAATGACCAGTCCCCAACCGCCGCCATCAGAAGCCCTCAAAAAGCCACCCAGGGGCTCTGTGGAGAAAAAAAAATATGCAGGGGCGAACGGCCATTGCCGAAGGAAAGAAAACTCCTCTGTGGATTCTCTGTTGCCAATGTGAAGGCCTTGGCATCGTCGGCAGCCAGAAATGCAAAACAGAGAATCCTCAGACTGTGGACACAGGCCAAATTTCACCAAGAAGGCAGGTCCTGTGCTGGAGAAAAAGAAAAGATATGTGGGCTACCCGTGCAGAAGATGGTTATCTGTCTCTTGTCTATCTAGCACAGGGGTGTCAAACATGTGGCCCGGGGGCCGGATAAGGCCCCCGGAGGGCTTCTATCAGGCCCGCAGCGGAACTGGCTGTCTCCTGCTGCTTCTTCCAGTTCTGCTGCTGCTGCGTCATCGTAGGTTTGCAGCTTACAGATACACCCCTGAACAGCCTACTCAAGACTGCAACAGCACAGACATTATGATGCAGTAATTCAGAGCAAGAGGCGTCAGTCATCAGACCCTGTTCAATAAACAAAATATTGCAAGAGTGCTGATGTTTTAAACATGTTTCTATTTTAAGTGTTTGTGTTTGTGTCCTTTATAAAGTTTATATCTCTGCTACCTGGCATTACATTTTATGACACACATGGCCCGGCCCAACAAGGTCTCATTTATGTCAGATCCGGCCCCTGTAACAAATGAGCTCTTCTTCAGGGAGCTCCTGTCTTTTGATTTCCCCTTCCCAAAGATCCTGACACAGCCCAGTCCCTTTGAGCTAAAGCCTGGCTGAAGTTGAGGCCTTTTGGGGTGCTACTGTGGAAACCCTGGAGCCACGTTTTGGCCGGGTTGCCCGGCTTGTTTTCAAGGCCTCCTCAGCAGCCATGAAGAGCAGAAACCAGGAGGAGAGACGGGATTCCAGATCCCTCGGCAGATACCAGCTCTGGAACGGAATTGCCAAACGGAAGGGCGTGGACACAGGCAGAAGAATTTGTCTGCGCCGGGTCATCGAACAGAAGGGGCTCTTGTCCACACGTCCGGATTAGTTTTAAACCGAATTGAGGGTTGAAAGTCGCCCTCCCACCCGCCTCCCCGAGAAACCTGCGAGTTGTAGATCGGGGACAACGTTCGCATTAAAAAATTAAAAACAGCCTCCTCCTCACAGGCAGAGAAGAAGAGGAGGAGGAGGAGGAGGAGGAGATTGGATTTATACCCCACCCTTCACTACCAGAAGGAGTCTCAGAGTGGCTTACAGTCTCCTTTCCCCTCCTCTCCCCACAACAGACACCCTGTGAGGTAGGCTGAGAGAGCTCTCTCGAGGACTGCCCTTGAGAGAACAGCTCTGAGAGAACTGTGACTGACCCAAGGTCACACCAGCAGCTGCATGTGGTGGAGAAGAAGAGATTGGATTTATACCCCGCCCTTCACTACCCAAAGGAGTCTCAGAGCGGCTGACAAACTCCTTTCCCTTCCCCTCCCCACAACAGACACCCTGCGAGGCAGGGGGGGCTGAGAGAGCTCTTGACAGAAGCTGCTCTTTTTCAAGGACAGCTCTGACAGAACTATGGCTTGCCCAAGCTCATCCAGCAGGTACAAGTGGAGGAGGAGTGGGGAATCAAACCCGGCTTTCCAAGGTTAGAGTCCGCGCACTTAACCACCACACCAAACTGGCTTCAGGGCTCAGACAGCTACCGATGGTTTCCAACTAGCAAAAATAGGGATGTCAGCACTGGGTTGAGGAATGCCCGTCAGCTGTTTACATTCGCCAGGCCACCTCTGTGAACGGGAACAATTGGACACAAGCCAGCCGCCAGAAACTGGAACCCTGAGCCGTTCTGGATATTCCAATTGAGACTGGAAAAGTTCCTAAGGTAAGCTCCAATGTGAAGCTGCGGAGCTGGAATCCGCCCCTACCTCTTGTACCTTTCCTCTCCCACCCTTCCTCCGGGACGGCATGCACGATTCTCCCTTCCGCATTTCGCCCTCCCAACGGCCCTGCGAGGTAGACTAGACTGAGAGAAGGCAACTGGCCGGTGGTCACCCAGAGAGCTTCACATCAGAGAGGAGGATTTGAACGCGTTTCTCCCCCAGCCTAGGCCAACATTATAATCACGGCTTGCAGATGTGCCGCTCCAACCGCATCAAGCTCAGGCTCAACATGGCCTGGGAGCTGTTAGCACCCTGCGGGAAATAATTGCCTGTCATTAGAGAGTTACATGTACTATTTATCTCGCACCTGTCGGGCAGGGTCCACTCCTACTCCGGTCGGCTTGTTTATTCTTCTGGCTGCCTTCCCGGCTTCCATCCGCGCTCTGCACATTAGGCAACCCGCCTCCATCTTGGGTCGCTCGGCCTTCTGGGCTTTCTTGGCAACAACCCCCTCACCACCACCCCCAACCCTTCCTCTGTCTTTACCCCACCTTGCTGCCCATGGAAGGTAACACCTCTGTGCCTCTGACAAAGCGGAGCGTGGCGCTCAAGAGCGTGTGCCACAGTCGCACGGATAGTGCCTCAGGCAGGGGTCTCCAACGTGGTGCCCACGGGCGCTGGCGTGGCCCCTCCTTACACCTTTCCCGGTGCCCGCTAAATGTGGGGCCTTTTTAAAAGACGATGGGACCAATATAGAGCTACTGATTGGCGACTGGAGATCTGACCGATACTACCAGATGGCTGTGTCTCAGCTCGTGGAATATGTATACCTGTGTAGGTATGCCAGAAAATATTGTCAGACGATATACTCATTTTAAAAAGCGTCCTGTTAAACACAGCTTCTGCTGTGGACACAGATCTTGACATCAGGAATCGCAAGACTGAGAAACTTGTGGGAGAGCACTTCCGCCTTCCAGGACTACCAGTGGCTGTTTTATTACAATGGAAGTTCAGGAA